TTAATTGGAGAGTAGAGTACATTATGATTTTTCTTTCTAACAACCAGCTCTTTACATTTGCAAGGGTTGCAGACCATTCTATTGTCTTTACACCGGCCATGTTAAGAACTGTCCTACTAAGTCGGCAGACGGGTCACTATTCCTAGTGATAGGCGAAAGAATAGTGGAATCATCGGCATATTTAAAAAGCACAGGGCAACCATTAAAAAAAAATCTGCTACTTCGTTACCAGTCCATGGGACACTTTTAAGACAGAATAAGAGCACTTCAGGGCCCAAAAAAACGTGTTTTGGGCTTTTTGAAATTTTTCTTCAATCAGAATTGGTTTGTACATATGATAAACTAAATATTTACAAAAAATAGTCTCTTGTCATAGGCACTTTAACAGGGTGACACCAATTACTTTGAAATGATCTCCCTTGTGGTCCTTTAAAAACAAAATTGATAATAAACTACAAAAATGATGATAACAAGCCTATTTACAAATAGTAATCATAATAAAAGACCTTTAAAATTCTTGTATTCTCCCTCCCTAGTGGCCTTCTAAAAGCAAAATTGATAATAATAAAATTACAACAATCATGATAAAAAGCCTATTTACAAATAGTAACTATCATAAAAGTTCTTAAAAATTCTAGAGGTTGAAAAAAAGAAAACATTGGCAAAAAAGGAATCCAATCTACAATGATATTTAAAAAGCACAGATTTTTAAAAATCAGAATAACTTTTTAACTTTAAAATTGTCCACTGTATAGTTTGAGGCAGTGCTATTAGTCAGTGTTGTCTTCATTAAGCTAATAGAGGTGGTTGGTTGTAAGTTAAGAGCATTTAGTTCTGTAATAGTAGAATAAAAGAATGTTCTCCTTATGCTTCAGTTCTGCGTTTGGGTAAGCGGTATAATGTAGAGTACTTGCATTCAAACTGGAGTCCAAGGTTGCAATTAAGTATTTTGGTGCTTTTCCATAAATAACTTTCTTTAAAAGGTGGAATTTATTGAGCTCGAAAAGTTGATCAACCGGTAGCCACTTAAGCTTTTTAAAATTATCATAAGATCGTGCATCCCGAGGACTATCCAAAATAAATTGTGCACAGCATTTTTGAAGTTTAAACAGTTCATCCAAGTTTGTTTGGCTACAGTTGCTCCAAACAGTTCAGCAATAATTAAAGAGCAGTTTGATACTTGCGTTGTAGAGAAGCAATTGATATTTGGTTGATATATATTTCCAAGCTCTTGCTAAAATTGCAATTCCTTGAAGTAGTTTTCGACGCAGTGTGTCGATGTGTTCATTCCAGATGAGTTGACTATCAATATACACTCCTAAGACACGTTCTGACTCAACCTTAGTGAGTTGCATGCCATCAACTGAAAGGTCAAGAGATTGTTTTGCTGAATTTGCAATTTTTTGTCTGGTCTAGGTTATACTGTACTTTGTCTTTGCTGGATGCATTTTCATTTTATTTTCCTTTGCCCACATCGATACTGCATCAATGTCAAGTTTAATTTTCTCCTCGACTTCAGCTAAGGTAAGTGCAGATGCATAAAGGTTCGAGTCATCGGCATAAATGCCAGTATTATACTCCCTTGCAGTACACCATAGTGAATACTGAGTGGTTCAGATAGTTTACCATTAACACATACCTTTTGATACCTTCTGCTGAGGTAACTTTGGAACCATTTGAGGGAGTTAGTGTTCAAGCCATATACTTGAAGTTTCTTGAGCAGTAGTTTATGGTCTACAATGTCAAAAGCTTTGTGCAGATCAATCATAACACCAGTAAAGAGGCCTTTATCCATTGTTGCTAGCCATTCATATGCAATTTTGATAAGGATGGTTTGCAGGAGTGGTTAGCTGTAAAACCTGATTGGCATTTGTATAGTAAATTGTGATTAGTGTGAAAATCAATGAAGTATTTGCAGATATGTTTCTCAAGAATCTTAGAATTGACAGGGAGGACTGATTTAGGTCTTTAATTGACAAGATTTGTTTTACTCCCCTGTTTGTAAATCGGAGTGACATGAGCCAGTTTGAGTTGAGCTGGGCAGATGTTGTTAATTATGCTGCTGGTAATCACTTTTGCTAGACTTGGAGTAACAGCAGGAGCGATTAATTTTAACAAAGAAGAGCTGATTCCATCAAGTCCAGTTGCAACATTTGATGGGAGTGATTTAATGATTTCTAAAACTTCCTGTTCTGAAACTGTGGGTATACTGAAATCAGCAAAGTTGCCAGCTTTTTTGCTATTTATGAAATCCATCAGATTAAGGAAAGAACAGTGATTGTCGAGCATCTTCTTTTAATAATTAATGGAAGATGGTCATCGTTAGTCACGTCATGAATTACTGTTGGTTCCAGATTTCTCGAACCTTTTTCATTCTTTAAGTGACTCCTTTTTCACTTGTACGCTTTATTTTAAGTTTGCTTTTAAAGGTCTGAGATAACCTCGAAGACTCAAAAAACGATAATTTTCATGACTGTTCTTTCCTTAATCTTAGTACCTTTTGCAGACAGGTATTAGGACAAACATCTTTTGGAAAACGTCTACATTTCTAGCAAACCGTGAGGCACTTGCATGCCAGTCCGTGGGACTGCAAAGAGGGTAAGAATTGAGATCAAATTGATGGAACAATAAGTGGTCTTCACTCTTTTCCTCCCATTATTCAAGTCCCAGTTTCCAGATGACCATCTATGAACATATAGTTACTGTCTCCACAAGAAAGGTTACCAGCTCAAAGACACACACCACAGATAAATACAAGTACAAAAAATAATTTTGCCAAGCCAAACTACATGATGGGCTTGTTCAGTCAAAATAATACAGTCTAAGAAGTTAGTACTCGTAAGCTACTTTGGATGACTTATATTCATAAGAAACTGGAAGAGATGGTACACATTTACCATGGTGAAACAGAGATTCCTCTTATCTGTACTCTTTGAGATAGCTTGGAGAAAAAAAAGGAACTGAATATGTGGCACTTGTTGAACAATTCTTTGTCAAGTTTGGAGGCAGCATAGCTTAAGAAGAAAGATTCCTTGAATTAATACATTAAAGTAGTTTGATATCTTCAAATACGTATCAGAAAGTCAGTCACTGTCTTTCTTAATCATGAATAAAGGTTGATTCTACAAATGATACCTTAGACCTCTGAAGTTTATAAAATTAATGTAAGTTTAGAAATCAAGATGATATACCTACAAGAGTCTTCTTCTCTACCTTGTTGCGTAACCTGTGCCCGGTTTTTTTTAAACATCTTAAGATATCAGTGATTTTAAGAGAGAAAAAATTTTCTTGTATCTAAAATCTCTTGGAAATTGTCTTTGGTGGAGTGATTCATGATAACAAGATAAGATGTTACTGAAAATATCCCATCATTATAGAATGCTTAAGGCAAGTTGGCCATAAGCCTTAAGCAACTCTTACATCAAAAACAAGTCCACCACACAATCATTCACTTCCTTTCCATCCTCTAAAGTCTCAAGGTCCATTTCCAAATTCTCTATCCTACCCAGTGTGGGTGGCAGTGGAAACACAGCATAACTCTAATGATATGGGGTAATAAAACAGTTAATTTAGTTTTACAACTCTTAAAATTTCACTTCTATACCAACCACCTCTAAATATTTGAGGATGCTTTTCAAATAGATTGGGCATATAGTAAATGTACAAAATTTATATGTTGTCCTGGTGGTATAAAAGCATGAATTTATATGTTGTCCTGGTGGTATAAAAGCATAAATTTTCTATTGGAAGAAGAGTTGATATGATTGCATGTGACTCTTGCTTTTTAGTGTTTTGCAAAATGTTTTTACCTTTGTGGACAAGAGATTGCTTGTAATTCCCTGCAGTAAAATTAAAGATTATAGTACACATGTTTCACCAAGTACTCCTGATTGCTAATTTCCAATAAAAAATAGGAATAGACTCTATTCATCATCTGAACAAGTAACTGATGACAATGGATGACTAGGGTGTAACAACCGCTGGTCTTCTCAGTATAAACAATGCTTTAATAGAACAAACTTCTCCGACTCGAGCTGACAACGTGGTAATGCAAAGTGTTGCTAATGCGCATGTGCGAACTGAACTATGTTGCAAATCTCGGAATACTGGACTGGATATTACATTTCTCCTTTTCTTCCGAGATAGTCTCTTCCTTAAGTGAAAAACAACGCAACTTAAAACATGTGTCCTAACTTAGACTAGGCATGCTATTTTAAAGCACAGTCCTTTCTGTTCCATGTTAGGTACAGTTAAAGTACAGTCTTTAGGTGACAAAGTCTTTCAAATACTCTGGACGTTTTCGATCACACCTTGGTCTGGTCGCAGCTGTTGGCATAGATTGTTTGCTCTGGTCCGCTTTGTCACTGGTGTTGGTTTTAGCTGCTTCCTTTGCGCTGCTTTCCTTAGTCTCCTCCTGGACTGAGTGAGGGTTGGCATTCAGTAGAATCTTCTCTCTCCAATCCTCTTGGTTCTTTTGTTCTTCCTGGTCTTCATTTTCTTCGCTGGTGTTTTCCTGGATCAGTGAGTTAGCAATCTTGAACTGGCTTCCGTCACGGTACACTTCGCATCCATCTGTGATCCTTTTTGCTGCAATGCTTGATCTGTCTATCCGAGTTACTCTGTAGAATGCTGGTTCAAATGCGGTAGACCATTTGTTTCTCTTTTTCTGTTTCAACAGGACATGATCTCCGACTAAGAAATTGTGCTCTTTGGTGTTCCTGTTCTCGGCATTCTGTTGGATCTTATCTTTGTATTTTTCATCCTGCTTATCGATGGCTGTGTCACGGGGATTCTCATTGCACTCCCTCGCTTGGTGATCTAGTTTGGTTCTGATCTTTCTCTTCATTAGGGCTTCATATGGTGGCACGCCAGTAGCAGGATGCGGTGTTGAGCGATAGCCTGTTAGCATCTCTTGAACAGCTACACTGCTTTTTCCCCCATTGAGACAAGCGATCTGCTCAGTCTTATTCAGTAGTTTCATGAAGCTTTCCGCCTCTCGGTTAGCACGTGCGTGTTCTGGGGTAACTCGGTGATGGTGGAATCCCTCTGTTTTGGCAAACTCGGCAAATTCTCTGGAGTTAAATGGTGGTCCATTATCGCTTTGTAGCTGTCTGTCTGTCCATGAGTGGCAAACATGGTTTTGAGCTTTTCCATTGTCAGCTGGAATGCTGTCGCGTGAGTCTTCATGACTTCAGGGTATCTTGTTCTCTTGTCAATGGCCACTAGGTTATAATGACCGTCAGGATAGGGTCCGCTGAAGTCTACAGATATGACATCCCAGGGTTTCTTTGGTATGTCTGTGACTTTGATGGGTTCCTGTCTGTGCTGCTTCGTGGTTACCTGACATTCGTAACATTGACCGATGATCTGCTCTACCATATTGTTCATGGTTGGAAACCAATACTTTGCTCTTAACATCTGCTTTGTTTTTGTCATTCCTAGGTGTCCCAGGTGATGTGCTGCCTTGATGACCTTTCTCTGTAGGCTTGTTGGGACAATGATCTGATTCATCCTGAAGATTAGGTCATTGACTACGTACAACTCATTCTGTACACTATAAAATGGTGCAATGTCTGGGTCCTTCTTGTGTTGTTCCCAATCTCCAGTGAGTATTCTGATGGAAAGTTTCTGAAGCTGGGTGTCTTTGAGAGTTTCTTCCTTGATGTGATCTACAACAACAGCATGTTCGGCTGTCACCGTGTACTTGATCACTTTCTCTATGGTATCCTTTCCAGTTTCTGGCAAAGGGTGTCTCGACAGGAAGTCAAGTGGATCGGCTTCATCCTTTCCAGGTTCATAGATTAGCTCAAAGTCGACATCTTGCATTCCCATTACCCATTTTTCTATTCTTGGTGGAAGTCGCATGGCTGCCTTGTTAAACAATGGAAGTAATGGTTTGTGAGCTGTGATGATCTTGAATTTTGGCGCTCCCAGAAGGTAAATGCTAATGTATGGAGAGGGCATCTTTCTCTGTCTGACTGTATCTTTTCCCGGTGTCAGTCATGCTGTGGCTAATGAAGTGGACTGGCTGTAGGCCATTGCCTGTGTCCTGGAATAATCCGGCTGATAGTCCTTCATGGTAGCTGGCTTCAACTCTCACAACAATAGCTTTGGCTGGGTTGAAGTACGCCATTGTGCTTTCACTTGTTATGCTTGCTTTGAGCTTCTCAAATGCTTCATTCTCTTCTGCTCCCCATTTGAACTTCGTATCTTTGTGGGTCAGCTGTCTCAAAGGTGCGGTTAGTGATGCGTATTTGGGGATGAACTTTGATAAATACCCAGTCATGCCAAGAAAGCTTCGCACAGCTTCTTTCGATTCTGGTGGGCTGCTTTCCTTCACGGCTCTGACCTTCTCTGGGTTTGGTTTTAATCCGTTCTTCGTGAACTTGTGCCCATAGAACTCTATCTCTTCCACTCCGAGTTGGCACTTCTCAGGGTTGAAAGTGACACCAAAATCTGTTGCTCTCTGCAGAACGGCTTCCAATGTTTTGTTGTGTTCTTCTATGTCTTTCCCTCCTATCAGGATATCATCGCGCTGGTTGAGGCACCTTGGTATGTCTCCGAAAATTCGGTAGATAGCTTCATCAAAGAGATCTTGCGATGCTTTTGCTCCAAAGATTAGACGTTTTGGTCGCATGTTCCCCCATGGTGTGCTGAAGGTAGCGACTTTTCTGGATTCTGGATCGAGAAGCAGTTGGTGGTACCCCTGCTTCATGTCAAATTTGGAGAAGATGGTACAGTCGTGGAACTTGTACATAAAGTACTCAACAACTGTTCCTTGGGTTATCCTGTGTCTCTCCATGAATTGGTTGGGTATCCTGAGGTCCACGCTGGCCCTAATCATGTGTGGTTCCAGGTCTTCCTTATCTACGCTGCTGAACTTTGGCTTTGGCTGAACTACTAATGGAGAGCACCATGTTACTGGTTCACCTTCAGGCACCTCTTCAAAAATCTCCTCTTCTACACACTGTTCAAGCCATTTCTTTAAGGGATCTTGCAAATAATATGCGACTGGTCTTGGTTTCTGGGCTACAGGAGCAGCTTCTGGTCTCATGCTGAATTTAGCATAGAACTCTTTTCCATTCTTGATGTCTTGTATCTTCCCAATGCCCTTGAATACATCGCTGTATCGATCAGTGATTGCTTTGATTTCAGGATTGAGTATTACAGCTTGCTTGACACTCTTGATGTCTGGCAACTCTTCCTGGATTCTCAGGTCATTGGTCTCGGTGAAAGAGCCATCTTCGCGGATCTGTAGCATACCTAGCTCTTTGAGGGTGTCTTTGCTGATGAGCGGTGGGGAATTGATTCTACCCCTGACCACAACAAATCTTGCGACTGCTCTGTAGGTCTGGTTCCTTATGGTCGCTGTGAATTCTCCTTTCACGGGAAGCTCACTTTGTAAGGTACTCAGCTTCACTCTGCTTGGATGTAGTGTTGGCTTTACGCTTGATCGATTTGCCAATGCCTTGAATTGGTGTTCGTCCATAACATTCACCTCTGCACCACTGTCCGGCTCAACTCTAACATCAACATCTTCTATCTTCACTGACAGAGTTCTGCTCTCGTTATCTGTTTTGATTTTCTTCACCTGCTTAAGATGACGTACAGCTTGGCAGAAAAATTCGTCATCAGAACTTGTTGAGTTATCAGCATCTTCTTCTGTGGTTCGCTTGACACGGTGCTTGTCCCTCGAGGTTTCTGGTGGTTTTCGACTGTGTTTGTGCCCATGGCTTTTCTTGCTGTTGGGAGGTCCTCTGAACTTGCATACTGAGCTGAAGTGGTTAAACTTCTGGCATTTCATACATTTCCTCCCATATGCTGGACAGTTTTTGCCTTCCTCGTGTGTGCCTGTTTGTCCACAGTATCCACATGGTTGCTTTTTCATCGCAATTTGCTTCAAATTCGCAGTCGTTGGCTTTCTCTCTTAAACGTGCAGCGTACGCGTTCGTTGTTTCGCCATGTGCTGGTCTCATTTTGAGGAATACATATCTTGCGTGGTGTTTATTCTTCTTGGGTTTGAAGTAGTCGTTCAGCTTTTTCCTCAGCTTCTCATAGTCATTACCGCCATCCGTTGGGTTCGGTAAGCTTTTCTCCAGACAAGCGATTTCCTTCCCGCCATAAATGATGAGTGCATCTTTCTTGCCGAGGGGTTCCGTAATCTTGAAATATCTGAATTTGCGCTCGATTTCTTCGAGCCAGTCGTCCCACGCTTTACCTGTGCCGATTGGGTCATCTCCCAGGTTGAATGGTTGAGATTTGAGATTTCTCGTCGCTGTGAAAACTTGTACTGGTGCTGTTGGTGCGGTGCCGCCGGTTGCTTCTTCGGTGTCGGGCATGTTTGTCGATCAATTGATTCAAGCGTTGACGTGTTTGTCTTGTTAGCCTCTCTCGCTGGGCTTCAAAACTCTCTGGCTTGGTTTCTCTAGCTTTCTTCTTTCTTCTTTGTGCTTAATCTAGTGTGGTATCCTCGTCGCCAGTGTAACAACCACTGGTCTTCTCAGTATAAACAATGCTTTAATAGAACAAACTTCTCCGACTCGAGCTGACAACGTGGTAATGCAAAGTGTTGCTATGCGCATGTGCGAACTGAACTATGTTGCAAATCTCGGAATACTGGACTGGATATTACATAGGGCAATATAAAAAACATACCTTGACATGAAACAGGTCAATCTCTCTTTGCTCCGTCTCTTTAAACACTTTTTCTCTTGTTACCATGGCAATTCCCCCCCATTCTCTTCAGACCTGGGATTAAATTTTGAGAGAATATGTTAAAATACAGCATTGAAGTAAATGAAGTTAGCACTGTATCAAACAAAAGGCTTTTCAATACAGTAAACAGCAACACCTCTACTATAGTGGTCTAGTATTTGGTTGTAATTTACATGTATCAGATTGGCAATTTATGTTATTGGAAAGTGTGAAGTCAATTGCAAGCTAGTCACAGCATATGCTATAATGTTTTAAATATCAACTAGACAAAGAAATAAATAATTGAACAAACAAGAACTTACAACTACACACAGGCTAAAACAACAGTACTCTACATTCAATAATGGTCTTCAAATCATGAATTTACTCAGAAGGAACTTTTAGTATCCTTGCAGGAACCCCAATTGATTTTCTGATAGAAATTTACCGTCCTCACCAATTCCAGTTTGTTAGCAATGTAAGATGCAAGTGCATCCTCTTCTGTGGGTAGAGACTTTTTGCATGACTTGCACAGCTTCTTGAAATAAACAGAAAACTCCTCCAACACTCTCTGCCACCCAACAAGACGAGATTCCATGTCAGCTTTAACATCTGTTAAACAGCAAGAAACAAAAATGTGAACTGAGAAAAAATTGTCATGAGAGGTCCCTTTGCAATTGTTCAGTGAAATATCTGTGGCAAGAAATTTGTTTTCCTGTGTGTAAGTTCATTTTTAAACTGCTGTGGCCATTTTTCAACTGGCTACATTATTAAGATATTTTTTGGAACAAGTTGTGTTTTTATTAACCTTTTTTTCATTTCAATGTAACAAACAAACGGAAGTTTAGTTATAAGACCAAGGATTACCGTCATTTGTAAGTGTTAAAAATAAGACAGTCTTAATACTTTAGCTCCACTTACAAACCTGAGCCTTTCAAGTCTACTTCCTCAGTGTGAGTGCTAAAATCTTGAATAAAGGTTCCCTTGCTTAGAGCTTCCACAAAGTACTAAAAGTTTTGAAAAGCATAGTAAGATACATGACAGTGCACTACCACAAACTAACAAGATCTTACTCTGTCACAACTTTAGTATCTTTAATCAAAGAAAATGTCTCAGTGTCTACTACAAGAAAACACTGGGTTACATTGCCCCCATAAGTGTGCCACCTAAAGTACAGGTTATCTCCTCAGTGTGAGTACCAAAATCTCAAAATAAAGTAAATAAACGTGCTGTTACGAGTGTTGATGTAGAGCAGGGTTGTTCCTAGACAAAACTCAGTATCGTCAGTAAGAGCAACAAACTGATT